TGCCGCTCTCGACTGCGCCGACGAGGCCAACCAGCAAGTGTGCGCGGACTTCGGGATCACCGGCTTCCCCACGCTCAAGGTAAGGCCTGTCTGCCAGGCCCCTCTCCGTGCCTGCCTTCCCCAGCGCTGCTCTTTTTCCAGCTCTGTCGGATTAACCACAGCCTCGCGCCTGTCGGGGCTTCGCCGGCTGCCAGCGCTTGGCATCAGGCCGTGTCGGTGACCGCTGGAGTGGCTTGCCCGGGGCCAGCGCAGCGGGTGGCTGTGTTGTTGTTGGCTGCTGGGGCGCAGTCCCACCTCTTGATCCCCTGCCCGGCAGCTTAGCTGTGTAAACACGGAGGATCCCGGTGGTTCCCTGTGCAAACAGAGGCCCGCTCCAGCACAAGCAATGAAGCCGCGGGAGCTGGGATGCAGCCCCACAAGCGGGATAGCTGAGAAGCGAGAGGTGGAAGCTGAGGCTACCTGAGGGAGGAGGAGGGAGATGGGGACTTAATCGTTAGCTCTTATGCTCGGAGTTGAGACGTGTGCCAAGAGGGCCATGCAAGGAGGGTGTCATGCGTCCTCTGCCTGAACTGCTGTCCTTGTGCTGCCTCTGGGTGTCTCTGTGGGACCCTGTCCCCAAGAGCATGGTGAGGAAGAGCAGGGCCTTCTTCACCATCCTCTGGACCCATGGCCCTGGACCCTTCTCTGAAGGGAAGCAGGCACCTGGATCCGGTCCAGCTCCCAGCGGAGGAGGCCCCACGGTTGCTTTTCCTCCAGAACAGAAGAGGGGACCGTGGGGTCTGGCAATGCAAGCTGCCTCTGGCGCCGTGGCCGCGGAGCTGGCGTGCGCGGGAGCCCATGCGGGGCTGGCGCTGCCCCGGTGAGCTTGGCCCCGCGGTGGCCTTTCCTCCGTGCCGGGCAGCTCGCGTGCCTTGGCGCTGGCACAGTTTCCGTCCCCTCACCAGTGGGTGTTTCCTGTGCTCGCAGGGCCCCGCACCCCGGCTCTGGCTGTGCTCGCCAGCAGCGGGCTCCATCCGTCACTGTGGCCCCTGGCGCCGTGGCAGGGCACCGGGCTCCCGAGCTCAGCCGCAGCACAAGGGAGCCCTCCTGGCACTTTGCTCCCCATCCCGGGCGCTTTGCGGAAGCTCCCTGCAAAACTCGCACCCTTTGCAGCAGCTAAGCCCCAGCTTGCCCCCTTCCCTGCTGGGAGAGGGAGCTGTGGTGGTGGGAGCGGCTGTGAGGGAGCGTGTGCCGCTGCGGCAGTGCCTGCCTCGTCCCAGCTTCTCCCCGTCTCCTTCGGACCCGAGAGGCTTCCGCAAACAGCGCGCGCTGCCAGCCCTGCTGAGCAAACAGGCGCTGTCGCAACGGGGCTGCGTCGGCGCTGCCACCTGCGCAGGGCCCTCGTGGGCGGCCGCGTCGCATGAGCGGGCGCTCCGGGCGGGAAGCAGCCCGCGCAGAGCCAGGATAAACCCTTTGCTTCCCCTTTCCCACAGCTCTGCAGCAGAGAGCTGCGGTTCGCAAGAGCAGGAGGCTCTGGGCTGCCTCTGCGGGTCGCGCAGAAGCAACTCCTGTGCGCCCACGCTCGGCACACGTGTGGCCGGCTC